CCCCTAGCCACACACTGGAAGTCTCCATGTGGTCCCTGCTCACCTTGCGCAGCCTGCTCTGTGCTCCCTCCATCCCTACTGAGTGATCTTCCCTAACACTCCCACCACCACCACCGGCTTGTACCATTCTGCACAAGCTACCCTGGCCTGGGGCAGGCAGTGACACAGCTCCAGCTTGAAGCTGGGTCCGCACCAGCTGCCTGCCCTGGGCCGTTAATTGAAAATAAGATGGGGATCTCCCCCGCCCCCATGTTGATTGGGTAGCAGGGGAAACCTTATGTTGGATTTGAGTAAATATGGTACCATTGATAAACAGAATTTTCAAGGTATTTACTGAGGTTTAGAAAGTTTAATATGAAGCTCACAATGAAGCTCAATACTAATTCATTTACGCTTTTAACTGTTTTTTAACCTATGTTTTTTATTTTTCTTTTGCCAAGGTCCTAGAGGCACACCCGAACTACCCAAAGATCAGAAAGGAAATACTTGATAAGGCCCGTGCATCTTTAAGAACCTGAAACTTGTTTGAATGGCTTACTAATTTTTTTAAATTTGTAAACAATGAATCTGATGTTACAGTGCTAGGGGCCATATCAGTTCCTAAAGATGGGGACTGCTTGATACTTTATCAACTCTCGTATGCTGTTTCCCTTTGAGGAAAAAAGAGATAATTTCTTTATAGCAGTGAGCTTGTTTTCTCTAGTAGAAATGGATCTAATAAACTGAAGCACAAATACTATGTTAATTATACGTTTTTACTAGATGGGAAACTAGATGACAACTGGTGGCGATCTTCCAACAGGAACTATCTTTAAATTTTACAAACATGACCAGTGCTTGGCCAGTCCTCCTCCTCAACAGGAAGAAGTATTGCTGTTCTATGTTAAAAAAAAAAAAAAAAAGCATCATCAAAAATACAAGTAGCCACAATGAAGGCCATAATTAAGTTTATGTAGAACTGGTTTTGACCATGCTTCAGACAGATGGATTCAGACAATGCAATATCCTTCTGGCTTCTACTAGTGGTTTACATACTGTGGATAAATTTCAAATTGACTTTTTAAAATTATGACCATAGTATATTCCAAACTATGGATTATAAAAAATCTGTATCTTTTTTTAAACAAACAAAGGATTTTTAAATAAAATTACATTTAGCCCCTTGCACTTCCTTTGCATTTAGTAATCTACAATTAGAGAAAAGGCAGGGACAGGCACACCATCAGACTGTTTGTTGTCCTTGAGCAGCTCCATATTTTAAAAATAGGTTTCAAGAAATTTCTGATAATTCCTGTGGTTTTTTTTCTTTCCTTCACTGAAAGTAACTGTTTTTGTCACTAACAACAACAGTGTCTCCTAAAATGAGAGGACAAACCTCCTATATTGATTTAGGACAATGGGACAAACTTCCTATATTGATTGATTAGGATGGTGAGTTTTTTTCATTCTAGCAAATAATTTTTCCAGCAGTTTTATCAGTCAAGTGTATATATGTACTTACGTGCGCGCGCATGTGTGTGTGTGTGTGTGTGTGAGAGAGAGAGAGAGAGAGGGAAACAAGTACAAGTGCAAATGATTATGTCTTGTGTAAACCACTGGAAACGTTTTTCAGACAAACTTTGTGTTATGGCAGTCTTAAGATCTTCTGTTGTGTACACAGTACTGGTTTCCCATAAAACCAGTTGCTTTCTGACTCATGAGTGGATTCTGAATTTTTCTCTCTCGAATGGTATAACATCTTGCCTTACAAAACTTGCTGTACTGCTAGATTTAGTCTTCAAATAGCACATCATATTATCTCTTAAAACAAGAGCTGTTTTGGCATGAAGAGACTTTTTCAAACTAGTAATTATTTTAGGGAGTTCACCAATCTAAATTTCCTCTCTAGGTAATTCTAGCTTCTTATTTTGACATTTCATAAAGGTTATAAGAGGAAAGATGACATCAAAAATGTTATGCCTTTTGGAACTTAAAGCTATCTAACACCACATACCAATACTTGAATATAAATATGCTGGGTAACTTTTTTTGTTAAATCAGCCATGTTAGCCTGTAATAAAATCTGGTAGTCAGAAGTAAAGCCCAGAAAACCAAGAATTTTAGTAATATATAGTTTTCAGCGAGTGTCCAGAGGAAGGATTGTTTAAGGGTTCACAGAGTGGACTAGGATACAGCCTCCAAAAAGCCACATCAACCATAGGTGAAGGACACCTTGTGAAGGAATTGGCCATTGGCATCATATTGTTAGTAATTACTTTGCCAACATTTGCACAGAAGCTGCATTCATGGAGAAGAAATATATGCTACACAGAACAATATTGACTCTTATGCAAGTCTCTACCCAGGCTGGAGAACAACACAGTAATTCAGGGCACAGTATATCTTCATTGGCAAATGTGAAGCCTATAATTCACTACACTAAGTTGTAGCATAAGCAAGATTCAGAAATCAGAGGTAAAAACATCTAAAGATGACAATTCTGTCAGTGATGTTATTAACTGTGTAACTAATGCCTCTCCAGCAACAGGCTGCCTAACTCCAATTCACACCCACCCGCTAGGTCTTGCTTATAGACTCAGATGCAAGCTGTGCCCCCTCATTAACAGATCACATCATTGGACCAAACAACATGGATTATAACATCTGTGCTTTGTTCATCTGCTCCTCCACCAACACTACATAGCTGCTGTCCGCTTACTATGCCCCTTAGCTCCCTACATTGGCCAGATGGGACAAACCCTGTATAAAAGATTGAGCAAACACTGATTCAACATCTGATCATCAAAACCTGTTGCAGAATACTTTTAACTCCCCCGATGTTTTATACAGTATCTATCCTTAAACAACAACAACTTGAAAAATCAACTTAAATGTACATTTCAGAAGAAATCATTTAGATTGTTAACCATGGTCTCAACAGGGACTAGGGATTCTTATTTTATTACTTCGACTAGCTGTAAACTCCCACGTCCTAACTACCTTATTCATTTCAACTGATCTAATCAACCTACTTTTTACTTTTCTTAACCGTTCCTTTGCCTTCTATGCTAGACCCTTTGGGTGCAGACAAAAGTGACAATTTTCAGGCAGCCTAGCCACAAAAAGCAGTCTATAGCCATGACCAAGCACACAGCTGCAGACTGCTTAAAAAATGGCTGATTGGATGACAATCTGAATCCTCATTGTACAAGGGTTCAGATGAAATAGTGTCTTCTGTAACTTTGTCTGGCAGCCTCCAAGCTGTTTTTAGAAAAGGAGGGGGGAAGTAGTATTGCCAACCCCGCTGTGCCAAAAATCATGAGACAAACTCTGAAAAGTCAAGAGATTGGCACATAAATCATGAGATGCTATTTTTGAAGTGAGGGGGAGTGTGTGTGTGTGTGGGGGGGGGGGGGTTGGAGACTAGGAAGGGAGTGTCCCCACACACCCTGGCAGGGTGAGGGGTACTGTGGGTCAGGAGTGAGAAGCAGCAGCAGGGCTGGGCGGGCTGTGGCTTGGGAGTAAGAAGCAGACAGATGCACAGACAACACCCAGCTGGTAAATGGAAATTCGGAGGCAGGGGGGTGGGGGGAGATGGAGGCTCCCACTGTGAGGGAGGGAGTGGAGGAGGGGCAGGGGCGAATGGGGCCCCAGGGCCAGGCCAGGTCATCAAGAGGCATGGGAGAGGGGCACGGCTCCCCACAACAGCACACCCCCATGCAGGAGGCATAGGGGATATGTGTCCCCCACAAGAGATTCAGGCTGCCCACTGTGGGCTCGGGGCTCTGTGCCCTACTGCCTTTGCCCCGGGAGCTCATCCATGTGACCCCAGAGTACCTCCTGCTAGCGGGTGGGCAAGGGATGTGCCACGCAGCCAATGTGCCCCATATCCCCTGCCTGCCCAGCGGGTGACGATGGCATTGCACAGCTGGGCTCCTGGGGCAAGGCACCAGGGCACAGAGCCCCAGCCCACAGTAGGCAGCCCGCCTCTTCCCTTTGGGGGGGACATGCCCCCATGCCCTTCCCCTCCACTTACTAGCTGGAAAAATCTGGAGATCTGAGGGTTGGATCAGGAGATCACGAGTCAGAGTTATTTTGACTTCATTGTGAAACCATCCTGAGACTTGGGATTTCAGTTGATGCTACTGGGGAAGGGAGGGGAGGGAGTTTGGTCTGGGTATTTTTTTTCCAGCCCCTGCTGGAGGGTGAAGAAGGTGTATTGGAGCCTTCCCAGGTCGGGGGAGAGGGGGTTCACTCTCCAGCGCCAGCTGAGAAACTGCTAGAACAAGCTCCCTCTGCTCCATTTCCCCCCTCCCATTCTGAAAATGGGCAGGCTGGGAGGGAGGAGGGTCTGTTGCTAGGGGAAATTGGCTGCAGGATCCCAACCAGCAGCTAGATTCCCCTTGCCCCTGGAGCCAACAGTGAACTTTTGTTTGGTCCGGGGGATTGTTGCAACCCAGAATACTTCCTGCAAAGATTTCTGAGTTACAGCAGGGAGCTGCATGTCTGCCTTTGCCCTTTCTTTCAGTGATTCCTTTCATAGCAACAGACCAAGTAGGTTGTTGCCTATAAAAGCTTATGCCTCTGAATCATCCTACCCTGCCTTCGGTCATACTTCAGATTAACATGGCTATGGCTAGCCACCTCTCTGAACTATATCAGTGTTGCAGTTTTATCAATAGAACTTGACTGGAAGACACCAGTGAGTTACGAGACCACAGTTCTTGGTACGACAGAGCCACTCACTCTCTTGTAGTCAGCTCCATGCTTCCAGCCTTTGGGCTTTTATTCTTTGTGCAAGTAATTCAAATAAGCCTGGGGTGTATAGGAGAGAGGCTCGTGTACCATTACAGAAGACAAATTTTCTTATTTATTTCTTCAAAGAAGAATCAACCACAAGTAGTGATTTAAATGCACTGGATTTACTTGAATCCAAGACCATTTTGAATTTAAGATGACTCCCCAATTAGCTTCTAGATACAGAAAATTACACGCTTTCCCCTGTGCTCCCCTCTACACCACACACCACTCCCCCTGCACCACGTGCTCCATTTCCTATATTCCTCTGCACACTTTGGGTCTCCCTCCCCCCTGTTCCACGCATCACCAACTACCACATGAGCCGCCAGGACCCTGTCCAGAGCTGCAGTAGCTGTCCGTCAGTCCTGTACTCAAGTCAAAGACTAAGGGTTTTTCCATGCTGAATGAGAAAAAAAACATCTTAAATTCAAGTAAGTAAGTTATTTCGGGGGTTTCAAAAATACAGCCTTGAGACTGAATTCAACCTGTGGGATCATTTCATCCAGCCTGCCATCAGTGGCATACTGATGGAGGGGCAAGAGGGGGAGGGGACCCCAGGCGCTGGCCAGGCCAAGAGACCACAGTGCCTCCTGCATTTGGTGTGTGGCCCACCCTCCTGCCCGGTGGCTTGTACGTTTCTTTACCTGTTATGGCTGGAAATTCGGGCCACTGCCCCTCCCCTGGCATGCTGCAATGTCAATTTCACCGTGGAAGTGCCGTGGTGCAGGAAAGGGGGCTCTGCAGCCTGCTCGGATCGTCCACAGGGGGCCGGGGGGCAAATCCAGACGTTGGCCCCCGGGTGCTGGAGACCCACAGTATGCCACTGCCTGCCATGCTACTGGAAGTTGAGGGGGTGTCAGGGGCTTCAGAATTTGAGGGCCTTGGGTCCATGGCCATGAATCTCTACAGCAATGGGCGTATGCTGTGTAGATACAGCTCTAATTCACTCTGCTGCCACAAGACCCTGTAGCTTCTGCTGGCCCTGTGGATCCAGCCCCGGAGGAGCCCCTGTGGTCCAGATCTGCCCTTGAGCCTGAGGGTAGTTGAACAGCCCTGATCTATTTAATTCTTCCCACAAAAACATTTCCTGTCTGAATACAGAGTCTGAATTCACCTGCCCATG